TACTACTACTACTACTACTACGACATGCCGCGGTGCGGCTTCTGCCAGCATTATCTCCCATGACCAAGACCGTGGTAATGTTGTCGTTACCGTTACAGTGTCTTGATCAAAATACTATTCTGGCTTGAACCTCGAATACCATGTGCATGATGATGACGGCACGAAACTCAGTCATGACCGTCACCATGCGACTCCATGAATAACAACAGAAACTATTCGGAAATCTGCGAAGACTCCATGTCCGAGCGGTTGACCACGGGAGCTGCGCTGTGAGCAGTGATCAGAAGGTCTCCGTTGACTGTCAGGCACGAAGCCGACCTCATCCCGCCCCACCCGGTCTCAGCCTTTAGCCTGCAAAGCTGTCGTGCGTGCCTAATGCTCCACCAAGGAGCATCAAGGATCCACTGATGGCTGTAGAAATCCCAAAGAATATCTTGTCTAGTCGAAGGCTACCTTTGCAGAGGTGACACAGGATGAACAAGGGACTGACGCTTCACCCCAAGGTACTTAATACCAATCTATTGCCACCACAAATCGCACATTCTCGCTTCTGGGATGTCGCACCGCTGCTGGTCAAGCCACCGTAGCTGCCATTGTCAGGCCCCTGGCTATATATCCCGGCGTTGGACCTTTGCTGACCAAGCTGCAAGACTTCCTGCTATGAGAATTCCCGCACAGGGACTGCCAAATGAACCCCTGTAAACCTATCCAGAAGAGGAGCACGGTAACCGAGTAGGCGCGACCTAAAGTACTTGGATCGTTGGCCGTTTCCCGGATAATGTTGTCCTGGATGTGTGGGCAGGAAATGGCAAAGATCACTCGGAATTGTACTGACAGAACAGTCCCAGAATCCATTCGCAAAAGGCGAATCCCGATGTCAAAAAGCCGCGTGGATTCGGCTGCATATCCTTCAGGCTTGTTGCATGAGTGCAAGCATCGTCGACATTATGGACCCATCAATCCCACAGGCCTGCTAGGCTGAGCCGTTTCTCTGAAACTTGACCGCGCCTTTCTCTACCCACTCGCGCACTGCGAAGTCTGCTGCCCGCGCCAGCTCCCAAAATGGAACGCCTCGAATCAGCTTTTTGACTAGCTGCAGACCCGTCTGATGCACATGCCCAGCCTCCTATTCTCGAACGTATGCTTGTATTCTCATGCTCTGCGGCATAAGCTTGGCCACTCTTTGGTAGCCTCGGATGCGGGGAAAGCGTCTCCGGTCATGTTGCCTTCGGAAAATCCTATCGCGGTATGAGCTGCCACCCACATCTGCAAGTACTGAGTACATACCATGCAAGCCAGGGTACAATCGCAGCGTGAAGTCCAGCGCACCTTGTTTAACCCACATCACTCCATCTGACACCTATTTTTCCTCAAACTGTCCTTCAGCCATGGAGCCAGACGCATAGGCCATGGTTCCCTGCGTCCAGTCTCCGCCAGGGGCGAAACGGCGCATGTCGACCCCTGGCGGGCGAGTAGCCGTCGCTATGAGGTTTGGGTGGCGAAAGCTAAATCTCAGCTTCAGCGGCACATCTCCATATATCTCCATGTTGGGGCTTTCTGCAGCTGGGGCACCCAGCAGCACACGATAAGCTTCGTATGCGAAGTCCTGGAGCGAATATTGCTTGATGCTCACGCCGCGTTGCATGGGACCAATGCTCTGAGCAGTGATGGGGTTGCTCTGCGGTCTGCACGTTCAGGATCAGGTGTTTGCCCGTTCCAAATTCCCGCAGACCGGCAGACAGTTGCCTCCGTTTTTCCTTTATGCATCTCTTCATCCTATCTGAAGCACCAAGACCCGTTTTTCCTAACCGAGAACGTGCCGGGGCATGATAAAAGGCTCCGCGGCAAAAGTCACCGAGTGGCAGCGGCTCTCCAATTTTTGTAAGGGACGTTCCATTAAGTACTGTAGACGATGATCTTCAAACTGGGCATATCTCGAGCATCTCAATCTTTGCTCCAGTCAACAGCTTTCGGAAATCGCGTGCTCATGATCACCCTGTCCATATCGTCATTGCTGATGTCGCTGGTGGCAAGTAAAGCGGCTGTGGCAACAGCCATGGACCTTCTCAAGATCTATCTACAGCAGAACCAAACTTTGGCCAGAAGAGCACCCAAAGCTTGGCTTCCGACATGGTGACATTGTTCTCTCTGCACAGCTGCCGCAGTTGCGAAAGCTGTTGCGCAGGAAGGCTTCGGAAGGACACGACATTCTTGCCTCAATCACGAGTTGCAGTCCATGTGCAAATCAAGCAACTGCTTCAACCGGTCATGCTGTTGAGCAGTGGCAGCTGGAAGGCAGTAGCAACCCCTCTCAGTACCTATCGAGGGGCCCGACTGCTTCACTGACAAGGCAAATGCTGCGGAGGATGCTTTCCTAGACCTTTCGACATCTGCAGCCGTTGCGGTTAGGTCAATGTTGCTCTTGCAGTGCGACCTTTGGCTCAGAGCCATATCTGCGCTCTACTTCAAGTGGAGTCCTGGTGCAGCCATCCACAGCGTCTGCGACTGCGGCGGCTGTGCTTTTAAAGTGCGGCCCACAAGCCCAATCCATGAAATTGGGGGTTCTCGCTCTGCCATGCCACGGCTTTCAGACCAGAAGTCGCTCTCCGAGGAGACGGCCTGTGCAACCACGCCGAAACAGAGACGGAGGCTGTGGAGTTGCGCCTCTGCCTTTTCTCTGGGGCCTACAACCTCGCGAGACTGTGCTGCGATGAAAATGTAGTACTAGCGAGGGCCTCTGCCATCAGAAGCTTGGCGTTCCCTTCTGCGGCAGCTGTAGGTACCGTCATGTTCCTCTCCTGCCGAAGTGCAGCGATATGCGAGAAAAACAGGGTTGCAACAATCAGGGGGCCGGGTCCTGTGCTACAGGCTGAGCCGGATTGAGCCCGAAGTTCTTGCGGACCTGCTGCCGCCGCTAAGAGAAACTCAGCCGCAACAGAATCCACAGCTCGAGGAGACCAGAGAAGCTCTAGACACCTGACACACCTAACTTGGGCATGCTGGGTGCATGACATTTCGTTCCGCTGCACGAAGTGCGGAAGGAACTTTCATGAAGGGCACCGCGCCAGCGCTCGCCTGTGAGAGAGCCTCACGAAAGCTCGTGGCGACTTGGTACTCGATATGCGAAGAAGACGCAAGGAGGTGTATCGTTAGAAGTCATAAGTACAGATACTCTCTTGGCGATAATTGTCTGGCCGGCAATGAGTTTCAGTGGGGGACATCGCATGAAGGGAAAGTGATGGGATGCATCTCTGAGGTTCGCACATATCCCGCCAACTTCTGGACGTCCAGCTCATCCTGAAGGAAAACGTCCTCGCAACCAATAGTGGCGCCGCAGGCTTGGATGCACGAATGCAAGTTGGCTCAAAGCTCGTGTTTCGCCGTTTTGGCGGGACCCTCCGACAAGACGACTAAGGCTGAGATGCACAAACATGCTCAACTTGCGACCTCCAGGGAAGCTGGCAACGCTGCAGGCTTGGGATCCTCAATTGGGTCGCCTGCAGCAAGCAGTGGCGCAGAGTGGCGCCAGCACCGTGGCACCGTGCTACTATGTAAAGGATGATCATTCCAAGCTTGCTGACAAAACATACCTGCCAGTAAACAATGAATTCTCCCAACGAGCTGTAGCTGAGCGTAGAAAGCCCAGTCTCGTTCAGCTGGCGTGCCGCGAGTAGCTAGTCAAAGGTTGCAGAGGACTAGGCAGCAGGCCTTTTTCGGCGGCCTCCATGTGGGAGAGGAGATCGTGCCTTACCGGACTGCGTGCTCCTTCAAACTCGTCGCTTTCGCCTCTGAATTCTGGGCTTCTTCATTGCACTTCAGAACCAAGGTGCAGCAGTATGTTGGCACTCTTCTGGTCGTCAATGGAATGGACGAAGCTGAAAAGCATCGCACTGCCTTCGAGGTGCAAGGGGTGCCATCCCCGCAAAATGCTCGAGAAGCACGTTGGACATGTACCATTGTGCATGGCAGGAGGCGTCCACCACGGGGACCTCGGAAACCTGGTTGACCTCGGCTTCTCTGCGACACTCGCGCCACAGGCGCAGGTTCTCCACAGATTACCATGGCTAAGTATCCAAGCACCTGGCGGAGCAATCGGAGCTTCCACAGCGGGCCATTCTCAAAGTCAAAGGTTGTCTTGTCCAAGGACTGCTCAAAGTGTTCTTTGCCTCCGGCCGAAAGTTCTTGTGATGCATTCAACTCTGAAACAACTGCTGGGTGCCCCACACTTTGCATCAAAGTCCCCGCTTACCTCAGAGCAAGGAGGTGCGTCCTTTCCTGTCATTTTTCACCTCACCTCGTCGCCACTATAGCCGCCAAGACACATCCTCGACCATGAGGCCACGTTCGGTGAGACCTTCATTGCTAAGACCTGTGGGCTCCCAGCGCCACCTGCAATTTGCCAACTTGTCCCCAATCTCACAAGGGACACGACGCACGCTGAAGTGACGCTGCCTGCCGTCTTGGCCTCCGTGAAAAAGGGGTCCTGCACACAAGACACACCCGTTTTCCCAAGCCTACGATCCTCAGATGAAAATGCAAGGAATGTCAAAGAATGCTCCCCTGGCTTGGCTTGAACCGATTCGGGGTCGTGTGTAATCTCAACTGTCATAGCCATGCAAACATATTTCAGTCTGTTTCAATCTGGCCATGCCTGTGTCTTTGCCGAGCACCGTTGGCTCACGTGCTGTCGCCCGCATCATGGGGTGCCGCAGAATCGCCCAAGAAAGAGCCTGGACATGGCGAAACCAGGGTTGCTGCTGCACAAGACTTGGGCGTGCGAAGAGCTTAGTTTTATCGTAGCATGTTGTTCAATCAACCAAGCATATACACACATACATACAAATATATGTACACACATACACACATACATGCATGCATACATTGGCATACATACCATGCGAACATGCACAAATACCTGCGTACGGAAACACGTGCCAAACATCCATATCAGGCGCATGTGCGCGCCTGTGTCTCTAGGAAAAAATGCATGCAAGTATGCACCTGGTGCACTGGCTTGCACTATGCATTGTCCAACGGCATCCCCGCTTTCGCGGGCCTATAAGTCCTGCCGCCCTGGCGCGAGACCAGCTTGTCCCTGAACCAACCTCGATGCCTGATGACCGTGCCTCAACGTCTCTGACAGAAGCCTCTCGCAAGTGGATACGAGTACTGTGCGCTCGCATGTGTGTGGGTGTGTGTGTGTGTACAATCCTGTTACCGAGGGACAAGGCAGAAGAATCTTGATTGAGTTGTTTTTTCAGCAGGGTGCCGTGGCCCACTCAAAAGTCCTCTGCAAACGAAGCTACCGCAGCTACCCTTGAGTTGGGAGGATATCCTGGCTGATCACCTGGACGTACCTGCAATCTTTTCATTGTGTGGCCAGGGGCTAAGCCAAGAACCCGATTGTACTGCGTACTGGCTATCTGTCTTCGCCTCTGAAAGTAGGAAGTACATTGAGAAAGATATCAATCAGAGGGAGGATTGCACCAAGTGTGTATCTGGACGGTTGTTCGTTCAACGTGCCGTCTAAGGTAGGAATGCCTACTGCATTGAACCCTGCACGGTTCTGAACCCTGACCGGTTCTATATGTATTAGCCCTGATCGGCTACCTGTGGCAGAACCCTGACCGGCTCACCAAAGAAATGTGTGTGCTTGATACATCATTACACGCGCCGAAGAACCCATCATCGAGTTGCATTTTTACCCATCCTTCACACCAGAAACTTTTGACTTGGAGCGGGAATCCGCACCCAACTCAGCCGGACCAGCTTCCGCGGCCAAAACAGACAAGCGTACGTACGATGCATGCATGACATGTGAGTCCAAAAGCAACTACCGCAGCCATTTCGTCCTCAAACCAGGCTTGCTTCAGCCGCGAGTGGCATGGAAGCAACTTCGAGCAACCACAACTTTTCGATGCTACCGCTACAGTACATTGTGCAGTTCTACATCCAACTCACCGTATGGGCGTGCGTGCTACGATACCAAGGCCCGTACTGGAGCAGTCAGCCAACAATCCGCGGAAAAAACAGCCCGACACAATACGCTGTCGGACGATTGAGCGGACAAAAGACACACAGCATGATCGCTATGCCGGATACCGCACCCAGACTCATGTCACGTGCGCAGCCATTCTTTCGGCCCAACCACGACTTGAGCCACGGATCAGGACCGGTGTTGGTTTTGTACCCAACAGACCGGACAATAGGTCCAAGAATGGCACACCATTTGGCGCAGCTTGCAACTTGCAAGAAGAAAGCATGAGATCATGAGACCGACAACACCGGAGAAGCCCATGTCGCCAGGCTCATTCCGAGCCTTCCCGAAGCTACCTTGAGCCTGCGAGCTTCTGCTTACTGCACGAAGCATACAATGACAGAGACGCCAGACTTTAATCTCCACGGCATTCACATCCTATCATTCAGCTCTGCAGCCTCTGTTCATGATGCCCAGCAGTTTGAGGTTTGATAGTGGATATCCAAGTATAATGTAGGTCTTTTCGCCACCCAAAGGACACCCAGCATCCGTGTTTATTCGTTTCGTTTCATTCGGTTCCATCTTCAGATCAAGTTACGACGACGACAAACAGGACGACAAAAGACAGTACCACGTCAGAACTGTCTTTGCTTCATTCTAACTTGTCTAGTTGTTCTGTTGACAACCGGTTTCAACCGGGGTCGTGTGGGCGGAACTCCTGTTCCTAAGGAGATCCAGTTTGGTCATTGAAGCAGGGGGCTGGCGGCCTATTCCGTGATGCCAGCCAACGAAGCTAGCGGAACAGGTGGAAGGAGCTATGGACGCATAGCTCTGTACCTGCCAATGTTTCACTTGCTGAAGATTTTTTTTATGAACATCTGGCCTTGAGGTTCTTCTAATATTGGACTTCAGAAGATGGACGACAACCGGCGGCTTTGACCGGTATCTTCATCTGTGCGTGCGTGTGTGTGTGTGTGTGTGTGTGTTTGTGTGTGTGTGTGTGTGTGTGTTTTTGTGTGTGTGTTTTTGTGT